GAAGTTGAGCCCAGGAAAAAAGGAGGGATGGGGGGAAGGTGTTTTAAGATTTAGCAGTTTTTATCCTCTCCTTCTCTGATTCTGATTGATAATAAATTAAATTAATTTTATCAGGTTGAGTCTGTTTTGCCCATGATGGTAACTGATAAATGATCTCTCCCTGTCCTTATCTCGACCCACAAGCCCTTTGATTTACTTTTCTCTCCTCTGTCTGGTTAAAGAGGGGAGTGATAGGGCGGCTTTGGTGAGCCCCTGGCGTCCAGCCAGGGTCAAAACACCACACCACTTTTTAAGTGGTGGCTTAAAACAAGTAGGGACACCTGCAAACCGGACTGATGAGACACACGGATGCTCAGTCAAGCTCTTCAGATTTATAAAGTTATCAGAGATGCTGGCACAGGGTAGGAGACATCACGTCATCCAGCCTACTCATCAAGCCAAAGGGGACCTGAAAGCAGAGAAGTGCTTCTGCTTCTTCCCTGGCTGGGTTAACGTGCGCACCTACTTGATGGAAAACCCTTTTTAATAAGGGAACATCAGGGAAAATGGGTGTTTCTTCTCCAAGGGGAAATGGCAGCTGGCCTTGGGCCCAGGATCGCTGCAGCCCCCCTTCAGGCATCCTTCAGGTACTTGTGTGCCGACATTACTCCATCAATAACGCAAAAATAATGGATTTTTTGTTTTCCTGATGAAAAAACCCCCACCTTTTGGGCCCAAAACATCTACAAAAGTCAGCAATTACCCCCCTCCAGGTGATGCACAGCCAGCCATCCCTCACGCCCGTGGGCCCAGTGCCAATATGGGGCAATCCAGGGTCTGGTGGTGCCTGCACCGCTGGAGGTTGGGAGAGGAGAGGAGAGGGAGAGGAAAGGAGAGGGGCTGCCCTGAGCCGTCCTGCAGCCCGGCCTCTCCGCAGCTCCTCCTCTGCCGCCATCTTGGGAGAGGTGGGGAGGGAGCGCCATCTTGAGCGTGGCAGGCTGGAAGGAGGGAGCTGCCATCTTGAGTGTGGCAGCAGGCTCTGAGGCAGCCCAGAGACATGCCAGACACAGAGCTGACTGGAAACGTATTCATTGTTTAACCAAGAAACCCCTCATCATCAAGCCCCAGGGTGTGCGTGGGGCTGCGGTGGTGTCACCCAGCAATAGCCCACCTCAAACCAGGCTGGCCAAGCACAAGGCTTCGCCGCAAGGCCCAGGGCAGAGGCATGGGCAGTCTGTGTGCCACAGCCCGTGCTCGCTGGGTCTCTGTCGTACTGGTAGTGAACCCCAGTGAGGGACTGGGCTGCAGCTACGGTCACCTAATGAGCATCTTCCACTCAAGGAAGCCATTGCCTTGCGGTTCCCTTTGGTGTTCACCTGGGAGGAGGAGACAGAAAGCGGAGAGAAATCAAGAAAAGGGAAACTCGCTGCCAACCGCACCCCGGCACAGCTTCTGCGGGCCCTCGGTAGTTTCCCACCGCCCCGGGCAGACCAGGAGCGTGGAGGCTGCCGTCCCGCCACAAGAGAGGCCCCCGCCCGCCAGACGGCTCCGGTGGGCTGGGGTGACCTGGGACAGAGAGGAGCAAGGTGCTGAGAGCGCTGCACTGCCAGGAGCCCACCCGAGACCCCTGGGCAAGGTCCTGGGCCAGCCGTGGCCCTGGCTGACCACTCACCAGCTGATCTGCAGGACACAAGCCTGGTCTTACTCACCTGGCTTTGGTACATGGTCAGCACGGCCGTCACCAGCTTGGCGTAATTCAGCGAGCTGGCGAAGGCTGGGGCCTGCTGGCACAGTGTCAGGACCAGGAGATCGAAGAGCTCGGGGGGCAGCACCTCCTGGAAAAGAGCCACAAGCAGGGAGGAGAGAGCCGGTCCTTGCCCCAGCGCTGCTGGAGCTGGCAAAGAAACCTGGGGGGACGAGGGGTGTCCCCTCACCTGCCGCCCCAGCACGGCCTGCACCACTGGCAGGAGCTTCTCCGACAAAGGCACCTCCAGGACCTGGCTGCAAAGGACGGTGAAGAGAAGGTGCGATGCTCACACAGCCTCGCTGGCGCTCCCGAGCAGCCAGACCCATCGAGGCAGGGACGAGGGCCGAAGCGGAGCTGTCGCCCCTGTCATCTCTCACCTTAGCACCAGTCTCACACCGTCTGGCTCCAGGCACTCCTCCACAAGCTCGCACACCAGCTTGGTCTGCTCAGCACCTGCAAGGGCAAAGCAGACGGGGAAAAGAACCTCCAAAAGGCTGCCAAATCCATGGGGATGTGCCTGACCCTTCCTGGCACCCCTTCCCACAGGGGTACATCCGAGTCACAACACCCAGAAACCACGTAGTGCCCCCTTCTACTGTTCAGTGTAATCCAGTTTTCCTTTGTCCATTTGCAGTGGGATTAATTAGCACCAGTCCCTGGGAAAAGGGATGCAGGGGTTCATGCAGGACCCTTGTCTCGTGCCACCCTGGGGCATTTTTGGCCCCAGCATTAGGAGCTGTCAGGGATCCCCAAGCCCATAGGGGGACGGGAACTGTTCTTTGGGAGAGCTGAGGCTGGAAACCAGCTTGGCCTCCCTCTTCAGCATCTGTAAACCCATCTCCCATCCTAACTCCCAAGTGTTCACCCACCCAGATAAAACCAGCACCATCCCTCTGTGGTTCCTAACACGCATTTTGGGTGATAAATGTCTCCCAGCAGACAGCACTCTGCAGTTGGGGCTTCCCTTCCTGCTGGATGCAGCCCACAGCCCCTCTCCGGCCCCCAGAACAAGCCAAGCCTCCTGCGAGCCCATCGCACCTTCCCCCGGCTCCCGCAGGACCGTAGCCACCAGGACTCGACAGAAGGGCTGGGAATACTTGGAGCAAAACGAAACGAGGGCAGCCATGAGGTGGCGGGAAGGCGGCTGGGTGAGGGACAGGACCTACGGACAGCAAAGGCAGGAGATGGGGATGGCGGTGAGGGAAATGGGGTGGAGGAACCCTCTGCCCCCCGCACTTACTCGCCTGAGAAAGAGCTGCTCTGCCAGGATGGCTGCGCTGGTGTAGCTGAGGTCGGGGGTGAGAGCCAGCAACCAGCCACAGAAACGCACCAGGAGGTGCTCTGGGCACGTGGAGAGCTGGAGGAAGGAGCACAACCCCTCCAGCTGGGGACAGCAGAGGACAGGGACGTTAGGGACAGCAGCAGACCCTCTGTGGCAGCGGCGGTTGCAGCGAGGGTGCTGAGGCTCACCTGGCCAGGAGAGCAGTTGTTCAGGACGTGGAGCTCGGGGGGGATGCTCAGCTCCGACTGCTGGAGGGAAACACAGTCCTTGAGTAACACCCCAAATAATCCAACCCACAAAACACGGCTCCAGGGCTTTTCTCCCCCCTACCCCCCCCCCGCTTTGGCCAGCACCGACTCTGCAGGCTGTCCATCGTACAGACCCCTGCGAGGTGGAGGCAGGTATTCTACCCAAGCCCAGAGGAGGTGGCAGTGGGGCTTTTTATCCCCCTGCAGCCATCCCTGTGAAACCCACCTCCTCTCCCATCCCTTCCAGAGGCCCTGGCACAAGCCCGTTCAGACCATCACCCCAGGAGAGACACAGAAGCAACCACTTACGCCGGACTCCTTCTGCAGCAGCATTTTCAGCCTCGGTCCATGCACCTGCGGAAAGCGAGGTGAAGGAACAGAAATCAGACTGCAAAGGCTCACTGGCTGGAAGGGGAAAGCCATCCCTGCCCGCTACCTGGAGAAAGGACTGGATCTCCGCTGCCAGCTCTGCCTGGGAAATCTTCCTGGGCTCCTCAGCTGCATCCTGCTGGGAGCTTTCCAGAGCAGCTCCGGCTGGGCTCTGAGCAGATCTGTGCCCCAAAGTCTCCCCAGGCACCTCCTCTTCCACCCCTGCCGCATCCCCATCCTCCTGGGTTCCTGGGGGTTCAAATGCCACCTCCTCCAGCAGCAACCTCTTCTCCTCTCTTTCCTCCTCCAACTCCAGGTTCTCCTCCAACGCTTTCTTGCGCTTCCCACCCTGAGGCACAGAGTCAGCCACGTCCCCGGCAGCACCGGGCTGCTTGCTGAAGCACCAGTTCAATTTTCTTTGCCCCTCTGGTTTGTTCTGGGCAATTTTCTGGCACAAACACCTAAGCTGCTGCTGGCATGTGGATGACAAAGGAATGGGAGGTGGGGAGCGCTCCCCTCCCGTCGGTCCCTGCCGGAGCAGAGCTCCCAGCGTCTGCACCCAGGGATCCACATGGGAATCTTGCTCCATGGCCTGGAGCAGCCGGCTGAGGCAGCCCCCGGGCACCATGGCTTGCACCACGAGGAGAAGGGAGAAGAGGTTTCTCTGGCACACGACAGGGAGCAGCAGCAGACGTGGTTTGCTGGAAAAGGGGAGAAAAGGGAGAGGTGATGTGTCAGAGCAATACCCCCATCCTTATTGCCAACCTGCCCCACGGAGCAGGGCCCAGCGGGAGAGGAAGCAGCAAACGCCTTTGCCAACTTTTGGAGACACAAGCTGGAAGACCAACGGGTCCCTGCTACGATCCTGACTTCACGTATGGACGTTGCACCGGGGGAAAGAGGATGCACGGCGCTGAACTGGGCACCCAACGTGCCAAACCTCCCACAAAACCTCAAGAGTTTTGGAAATAGGGCCAACTCACACAGCCAGGGCCCCCTCCGGCCCCTCCAGCGTGGGCTCCTCGGCGCACAGGGCTGCGGTGAAGGCCTGCCAGGGAAACGCCTGCCCCGGTCCCTCGTGGGCCTGGACCCGCTGCAGCATTCGGAGGGCGGCCAGCGTCCCAGAGGAGCCGGTGGGCAGGGTGGGGGGCAGGAGGCGTGGAGCAACCCCCAGGGTCCTCCCTCACCATGCCGGGTGCAGTTTCAGGGGCTGCCCTTACCTGCGCGCAGTGGGGTCCGTGGGTATCCCCGTCACCCGAGGATGCAGAAGCATCACCGAGGATCACAGCCGGGCCAGGGCACCGGGAGCTCCTCTGAGCCCCCCAAAATTGCTTTGCTCGCAGCTACCCCCCGCCCCC